TCTTTTATGTCCTTTTGATACATACCTTGTGCCATTGAGGTACAATCGAATCCCATCAGTGCAGTCCCACGTCACGCCAACATGATGCCACACCCCTGCYTTAAACAGCTGTCCCTTCGAAGCGGTCATCCAAGTCTTGTTGACTATATYACTTCTAAAAACAACTTTRATATCATCATTTTGTTTTGTGATGATCAGCCCACGAGCACTGTGGCCGAATACCAGTAGCGTCTGTACTGCAAGGAACGATTGCAAGATATTGGTCCATAGTGTAATGGAAATACCAGACGAGCAATTATGTAAGCATTCTCTSTGATGGTAGCTGAAATCAATCCAGGAGTTTGGRCCGTATAAACTTACACCAATGTCAGACGGAGATGGGACTATTTCGCTGACTCCTGTACAAAATGAACGCACCGTGTTTGTGATGATTGATTGTGATAACTCGATGAGACATTTTAATTGCTGCTAGCCTGAGTATCAGGCTCTCTCGAAGGGGTTTGGGACGGAGCGAGAGAGAGAGAGAGCGAGAGAGCCTGATACTCAGGCTAAATTGCTGCGCACAACTGTATTCAACAATGATCGCCACTTTTTGTTGTTGTTGTTGTTGTTGTTGTTGTCGTTGTTGTTGTTGCTGATCTTGCTTTTATTTGTTATTTATTTAATTTTCCTTATTTATTTTATTTCATCATGTATTTTATTCCTTTTTTCTTTCTGTTTTCACACTTCTTCGACCCCCATCCTGATAAATATTGCACAGTCCCTAAAGTCATAAACAATCACTCCCCTGAAAAATATGGGCAGAAAGGAGTGAACGTATTACGGCATGGTACCAGCAAAAAAATTAGAAAAAAGCTATAGATCTGTAAACTATAAACCCACTTTTTGTCAAAGAAATCAGTTCATGACGAAGCCATGCCATTTGTTTTCACTGTGTGATGGTGATGGCTTGTTTTAATCTTATACCACTACTAGTGAGTTATGCAGCTTGGAGAGTGAGTCATGCTACCTGTAATGCGTCCATGCCATCTTGTYGAATTGATAGTACTGTCATACAGCAGATTATTTTGAATGATATTCATATTCCAGTAGTGGACCTGTTTCATGTCGTCGTCCAAAGAACAAACATAACGAGATATCTGAAAAGAATTCATAAAATTGATCTGATTTAGAGCCTTTTCTCTAGATATTTGAGTTCT